TAGTAGAGGTTGGAGGCCGTCGCTAGTAGAGGTTGGAGGCCATCGCTAGCATCGCTAGTGTAGGTTGGAGGCCAACGCTAGTAGAGGTTGGAGGCCATCGTAGAGGTTGGAGGCCATCGCTAGTAGAGGTTGGAGGCCATCGCTAGTGGAGGTTGGAGGCCATCGCTATTTGTGTTTCCTTTCAGCTTCCGTTTCAAGGCCTGCCTCCAAGGAGTCCAATTGCCTTCGCAGGAAGCTGACGGAGAAGTGCATGGGCACCTCCAATGCATCGCCCGCTTCAAGATTGATATTGGCTCCCTCAGCATCTCGCTTTCAGAATTCTGAATCTCTCTTCTTACTTTCAGCCGACTTATAGTGCGCAAAAAGCATGTGCACACAGTCATCTGAGCTCTTCGCCTGTTCAATGTCTTCTCGGCTGAGATGCGAACACTGAAGGGCAGCCTCACAAAGAATGGCAGCGGACTCTGCACCATCTGAGTGATACTCTTTGAGAATTGCACAACAATGGCGAACAGTACGACATGTTATTGACATCATTTTCGCTATTTACGCAAACTTCAAGCCAGGCTGAAAACGGAATGCGAAGGCCTCATAGGTGGCCTTTACTACTGCAGGCCCTCCTCTGTCATATGCCTCCAGGCCCAGGCCACCTTGGTGCACTGATGCACAGCGTCTTCATGCAATCTGTCACATGCAAGAAACAAATCCAAACAAAAACATATATTAATCAAAGAAATCTACATGAACATACATGAAATAACCAGAGCTGGCTGCCTCCTCAACATAAAACAACCATTGGGTTCGTTTCCACCTCATCTTTGAGCTTCTTTGTGACCAGCCACGGTAAGGCAGCAAGTTGGGGGCCATGGGTAGGACCATTACGCGACCAGCAACCCCACTTTTGCCCTCCGCTTCTCTTCCAAGTTCGGAGGCTGTGAGCTTTTCTGTCATCTCCTGGAAACACAGATCCCTAACTGAACCAGGAGTTAGAACTTAGATGACTTAGATGAATGATGATGAATGAGAATCCAGTTTGATAAAATCATCTCCTGATCCCAGAAGCTGAAGATGTCCCCGTGGTGCACCTCTATGCACCCGAAGGGGCTGATGTCCACTCTCCGGATTTGCCCTGAAACCGGCACGGCTACAAAATAGAGAGAAATATATAGATAGAAAATGATAGAAATAGAAAGAGAAAAAAGATAGAAAGAAGAACTATTACAGCATAGCGCAGCCTACCTGACATGAGCTCAACACAATCAGCGCCAGTCTTCCGTCCTTTGTAGTTGGTGCTCGTGGGCTGGGCAAGTGAACGCAGCATAGTTTCAGTGGGTTGCTTAGTGATCTCTGGGTCCCCGAAGACGGTACCTCACATGAGGCGCAAATGAGGCGCATTCCTTCAGCATCCGATTTTACACCTAAAAGTACAGTTTTCAAAAACATATCAATTCATGCGATGCAAATCGAATTCGCCCAGGTGACGACTCTCCTCGCGAATGCTCCACAGTTGGGGCTCCACTTCGTTCGAGCGATATGGCCGGGGCGGGTCCAATTGCCGCACGTAGTCGACCTTCGACATTTCGACATTCTCGGATCTTCGTTCAAAACACTTTCGTACTCGTTCTTCTTGCTACTTGCTGCCCAGCTGCGTGTTGTTGCATGGCCCTCTGCCGAATCATGTTGAAACGGTTTTTGCCTAAGAAGCACGATGAACAAGATTGAACACGTGAAAACAACTGGCCTGTATGGAGTATGGATAAATATGGATAATATGCAGCATGGATTGTGTGCCACATTGGAATTGCACAAGGCCCCAAATGGATCAATCGTGCTTTGGAGGTCCTGCAAAAATCAAGTGAACCGCGTAGAGAAGGCACAAAAAGCAAACTTGATGGACACTTTGCTCACCCTTGCGACTCTTGCGGGATAGAAAAACGCAAAAAGTACCACCCTGAAAAACTCCAAGACACCTCCACTCTTCAAGCGTGTCTGGATGTGACACCATCTTTCGAGCTTGCTTGCTCTCCGCCACATGACAATCTTAAAGCATGGTGGTTGGGGAGTTGCGCGAAAACTTGACGTTCAAAGTGCAACTTCTTCCATGAAGTGCCTCGCTAGTAGTAACAAGTGCCTCGCTAGTAGTAACAAGAAAGCTATTAGAATTAATCAAAATAAATTTAACAATTGCAAGGTGGGCCAACGGGCTGAAGTTGGTCTCTTCCACTGGGATTGAATTCCCGTTCCTTGGCCTACTGGTGGGCCGGTTTGAACCCAAGTGCTGCAAACGAACCAAATGTTTAAACAACGAGTGAAGCGATCAAAATCTGTTGCCGCCCGACCCTTGACTGTGCGTACTCATGTGACCTCATGTGAAGCACGTCTAAATCCATCCCACCAATTGAGTCCGTTGGGGACCGACTTGTGTTTCCAACCTGCCCGGCACCTGCCCGCATCACAGGCGACTGGAAGTCAGGAGCGACTGACATGGAAAAACGTCAGATCTGACCAGGGCTTTACCTGTCTAGTGCTATAAGATCTATAAGGCCTATAGACAGCTGAGTTGCCTATGCTCTGGGTTTTGCAGGGTCAGAATTTGTGGGAAGGGTGGCTTCGCGAGGCTTCATGCAACACTAGAGGCTTCGCGAATTGATGTCGCAACCTTTCATACACTCTAAGTTAGCTGCGAATTCTCTTCGCCTTTGCGAAAGCCGAAAGCCCACGCCAGCTTCGCAAGCCTCTGACATTTGGTGAGTTACAGGATCATTCAATAAAACATAAAACACACTACTCACCTGTCTTATACGGCTGCAATTTCCGACATCGGTCATGTCCCCAAAAACAAACGAAAAGCGCAGACTCCGCGAAACGAAGCCAAAACTCTCTGCCTATTTGAGGCAAATTCTATGAAACTGGAACACCTATCACCTTTCTGAGACGGCAGCAGCACAGCAAAGCAACTCAAAGGAGCAGCAAGTCTGCATTCTCTTTTGCATTTGCAGCCCCGTGCTTGAAATGCCCAACGAACACCAACAAGTTATACCGGCTGATACCTGCTGCGAAATCTACACTTGAAGGTTCGCATCACGCAGCCCTGCCAAGGCATTTTGCAGCCCAAGTACATGCAAAAAGCACTTGACACACCAACCAAAGTTTTCACGGCTCATGTCTCTGAAATCAACTCAGCAAGTCCAAGCTTCATGATTCACAACGCCTGCCACAAAATCCACAAACAACATTTCTCCAAACCCATCCAAATCCCAGCACCTACTGTCCACGAAAATGCGACGAGCAGCAAACGCGAACCCTTCGCACGCACCCTGCCCCATATTTAGCGCAAGAACGCCTTAATTGCGAGCAACTTGTTTGGGGAACCTATCTACATCCAAGAGACCAAAGCATGTGACAGGGGAAAATGCAGAAAGCAGCATGAGATTTCCGGAATTTCTGACCCTGCATTCAATCCGGCAATTACTATGTGCAACAATTTTTTTCCTCAGGGCAAAACATCCAAGTTTCTCGAATGCGACGCGTGCCTGAACGGCATGAACAATATGAACATGATGCACACAAACACGGAACCCGGGTGATTCCATCAGGGCGCGAAAGGGAAGAATCGTCACTTAGGAGGGTCCCCTGATCATCAGGAAAGTCATCTCTCTCCTTCTCCACATGCTTTGTGAGCAATGTCTCATGCAGACGGTCAGGTCACAATCGCCATGGTCAGATTTCAAGTCCGGGATTCTCATGTTTCTGGCATCGAAAACCGTCGTCCATCGCTGACGTCGAAATCCTTGCCAGGCGACACGCTTCTTCGATTTTTCGATCTGTCGGACCTGGGCGGTCTGGGCGTCTGGGCGTGGCGTCTGCTTCCATATCGACTCTATGTAAGTGGGTTCCAACTAGGAACAAGTGCATCGCTTCTAGTAACAAGTGCCTTACTAGTAGTAACAAGAAGCTACTAGGAACAAGTGCATCGCTTCTACTTCCTGCTTTCTGACCTTTCACGCTGTCTCTTGGTCAAGCCTCACGAAGGACCCCATTCTCCTGCTGCATCTGCACCAACACGCCTGAAGCGTTTTCTGCTCAAGTATTGCTATATGAGCTAAATATTCCCTATAGCTAATGTTATATGAAGTGTTGCGCGCGTTCCGATATTTTTGCATTTCGCTACTGACCGCCACGTGGATCCCAACTTCACACGAACATTCCCTCGCAACCTCACTGTGAACTCTAATTCTCCTGCCTTGTGTGTGCTGCTCAATTTGTTGTCGCCAGCTGTCCATCAAAGAGCTGGAAGGCACCAAAACCAAAACATCGCCGCCATTATGCTGTGCTGCAAGAAAAAGGCTACAGCCTTGAAGCCAAGCAACAAACATTCAAAAGCACCATCACCGTCTGCAAATCACTATATAATTCTGCTGAGCTACTGATCGCCACCAATGTTTTTCCAGCACCCAGAGATGAAGCATCCAAAGATCCAGTTCTGGGCGCGCACGGCGACAAAAGCGGAACAAAGCCGGGCAACGACCTTGCCAAGCTCTTCTTTGGCAAGAGCTAATGTAAAAAGTTGGAGAGGTGAAAACTGTAGCGATGCGGCAAACACGGTATCACAACTGCACACCCCATCCTTGCCCTGCCGAGGTTCGCTCCATGGTGGCGGCTTTGCAGCAACCGCTGTACTGCTTCAGTTTGATAGCTGAAGAGCGGTGTCTTCAAAGTGGCCACCTGGATCAGGACATCTGGAAGAAACGATGCATAGCAGTTCTGTCAGATGTAAAGATGGATTCTGTGCAGTTCTCCGGTCGTTTCCCCGTCTCCTGGGAGCCCTGGGAGATTTCGGGCACATGCTCCTCCATGTGCTCGTTGAATGCCAAAGTCTTCAAGGCCTGAGCGAGTTTTGGCGGAGCCTGAGGCGAGGTCGACAACTACAGTACAGGTAACTCGTAACGGACTGACTCGGACTGGAAAGGCGAGGAAAAAAAACTCAGAAAGAGAGGCAAAAAAGAAAACCTATTTAAAACATGTATAAGTAGGCCATTGCTTCTAGGTTGGAGGCCATGACGACTAGGTTGGAGGCCATCGCTATTAGGTTGGAGGCCATTGCTTCTAGATTGCCATGATATATTCAGAAACCAGTATGTAGATGTTCTTCTTTCAACAGGAAGAGGTACGCCGTGAGGGGGGCAGGCTTGGTTCCCGGATTTTGTGGAAATGAAAGTGTAACAGGTAGAGTTGAAAGAAGGCTGCTGGGCACAGATGCTAGCAGGCCAAATGCTGCAACCAACTGCTACCACCTTGCATGCAAAAGGGCGAGCACGTTTTTACATGCTCCAGTTTTTAAGGGAATACCTACCTTTTGGAGCCAAGGGCTACCAACATCCAAGGAGCATTGGCCAAATGCTGGTGCAAGCACCCCAGGACCTGCCGCTCACTTAGAATGTTTCTCATCTTGCTCGAGTCCAGATTTCAAAGTGTCTTGTGGCAAGTGGCTTTGCTCTCTCGGCAAATTCGAAAGGCCAGTTCTGACCGCGTTGGCACCTGATTCCGAGCAGTTTAAAAATTTTCAACCTGTATCCAATTGTGGTAAGCCTGCAAGAAAATGTAAACCAATGGCCTACTACGCCCTACTTGGAAGCCACCACTAGTAGGTTGGAGGCCATTGCTAGTAGGTTGGAGGCCAGTGCTAATGGGTTGGAGGCCATCGCCAGTAGGTTGGAGGCCATTGCTAGGAGGTTGGAGGCCATTGCTAGTAGGTTGGAAGCCATTGCTAGTAGGTTGGAGGCCATTGCTAGTAGGTTGGAGGCCAC